TTATTTCTTTTTTATATAAACGTATAGTTTTGCTACATGAGAGCAAAAACCCTGAAAGGTGTAAAAGTTTCCCCTGGTTATTGTTGAAGATTTTAGAGGAGAACAATCATCAAACATCAGCCTAAAATACCTCCTACCTAGTAGCTCCTAATGAAACGGGGTCAGAAATGGTCAACAAATAAGCTTATATGAAAGTTTGTGAAGAGAATATTATTTAAAATGGAAAACTGCTTATTATTTGCTGAAAATGAGCTGAACATTGCTCACTCTCCTGTCTGTATAGTTAATATGTGGCTACCACCAGCTGATTTAGCTAGCTTAGCTTAGCTTAGCAACATGGGAACACAGCTAACCTGGTTCTGTCTAAAGGCAACAGAATCAAACTACCACCTGTTGTTCCCTTTTATCTGTAGATGTGTAAAGCAACACGGTGACTTTTTATGCATTGGATGATATTTGTCATCAAAATAAAGCAGCCAGCAGAGATCTGCACCAACAAATACTGTTTGTGGTCTTTGTATGATGCTAAGCTAACCAGCTGCTGGTTGTAGGTGTACCGTGCTGACATGAAACTTTCAGCCAAAAAAGCAAATACGCATAGCACTAAAACGTCAAACTGATTCTTAAATAAATGGTTAGAAAGCACAGTGATAATTAGTCTTTGTGCTAAGCTAAGGTAGCTAAAGTTGCACACGGTAGCTACATTTACATTCACTGTACAGGCTACAGTGAATGACCTCTGGTGGAAATTCCCCCCCATCAGGCATGCTAACTGCACGCTCCCTCAAAACTTGCGTCATCTGTGGCATTGGGCTGTGGCCTTTTATTGCATCCAGCCTGAGGCACACCTGTGCAGCAATCAGCCGTCTAATCAGCATCTTGATGCACCACACCTGGATGGATTAACTCGGCAAAGGAGAGGTGCTCACGAACACGGATTTAGACAAATTTATGAACAATATTTGAGAGAAAATGGGCCTTTTGTGTAGAAAAAGTCTCAGATTTTTTAGTTTAGCTCATGAGAACTGGGAGCAAAAACAAAAGTGTTTATATTTTTGTTCAGTGTAGTTAGGAATGAGTGGGATGGCATGGTATATAGTATAGTTTTCAGTTTTGCTACTTAAATACAACATTATTTGCCATCATAGCATTACTGCACACATAGAGCTGATCAAACCACTTAAATGGATTTTAAAAAATAGGCAACAAATAGTCTAATAATGAAAATGCATTTTTTTGGACCCAGCTATAATTTAATGTAGTTGTGTAAATGCAATAATTAATTCATAATGATAAAACAGTCTCCCACTGCAATGGATATCAGTATAGGCCTTTATAGCTGAGCTGCTGTGTTATTGTTCTTTGGTATTTCACAGTGAATCAGATTAATGTTTTACCTTCAAAATTCATTTAACATGTTGTTTAATCCAAGTTATCAAAAAGGGCAAAAGGTATTTGTACAAATAAATACAAATGAGAATGCTCTGGGGTCTTCCTAGTGAAATATGGCTCGTTACATAGATTTAAATTAAAATTTAACTCTTAAATGCCATGAACAGGTGAATGATGTTAAGTTTGTGTTAAATACTAATTGGCTTCAACACATTTTCCCAAAAAGAGTCTTAGTTAATCCATAAACCACAATGTTTACTGTTAAAAACTACTTTCTACTGAAGAAATAGTTGTTTTTTCCATTTGTATTATCATCTATGAGCCCTGATCTCACTGGACAAGGACCCCTCCCCCTCACAAATCCTAATTAACCGCTGCATACAACACAAAACCAACAATGGACATTTAGGTTGAATCCTATTTCACATGCCGCTGCTGGCAAAATTCCTCTTTTCTGTTCCGTTAATACACAAATTAGCATCAACTCCAAAAGCGACCAAAATCAATTGATGCAAACACACACACTCTGTTTGAACTGCCCATGCAGCGCTCTGAGAGGAGAACAGAAAAAACGTCATGCGGTGAAAGAATGTTTTCTGAGAGGTTGGTGATGACGATGACGATGATGATGATGATGGGGGACAGTACCAAACGTACCAGAAACGTTAGTCCTCATTGGTCAGTGATAGTGATTCTGTGGGAGGAACCATAGTTATGTGTGGGACAGAGGCGTGGTGAGGGAGAGAGGGATGAAGAGGAGGAGGAGGAGGAAGAGAGAAAAGGAGTGCAAACGGTTACAGGGCAGGAAATGACCAACGTCACATGTGCTCAGCTCTCACTAAGGACCAATCAAAATACACCGAATTGAAACCACTGGTGATGATTTTGAGATTGAGATTTTTTTAAAGTTTTCCAGCGAGAGCTTTGCTCAGCGACGTTAGTGTCCGCGACAGTAAAATAGGCAAGCTGCTACTCTGACAATGGTTGAAATAAGTTAGCTAGCTCACAAACACAAGCAAGCACAAGCCACATACAGTTAATGGAGACCAGAGAGGAACACTTTTAACTTTTAACCCTCATACTGACTGGCTTTGAAAACATTTCAGATGATGACTGGGGGTGAGGTGGATGCAAGTAACGAACAGTGTGTCGGTCGTTGTTGGTGATGCTTGACAGCGTGTTGAGAGTTCAGAGGTGGTGGAAAGATAAGAACAAGTGGAGGTGAAGGGAGGCAGTCAGCTGTTCACCCCAACCAATAAAGAAGAATCCACTGACCATGAGTTCTATCACTGTCTACCCATCTATTTAGGAACTGCTATCCATCTATTCATCTATTCTCTATTACACCCAGTGCTCTACACTTTCATTTACCTCCTTCATCCCCTCATCCAGGTGTCTTCACATCCCCCTTAGTAACAGAGAGCATCCACACAAGTATTTTAAGCTATAGTTTGGATGTCGGTGTCCTCATGAGATCTGCTGGTAGAGTTGAAAAAAGGGGTTGAAAGAGCTCCTGTTTTCACTCACCTGGGCACGCTAGGGGGTGCACGGTTAGGCCTGGAGGGCACAGTGGGTGGAGGTCCACTGTAAGGGTCCGGAGAAGCTCCGGGGCGAGACGGGACTGGAGGTCCCCCAGCGGCAGGAGGCCCGGGTGGAGGTCCACGAGAGCCTGGACGGGCAGGAGGTCCTGGTGGAGCCCTGCGGTTTGGAGTTGGACTAGTGGCTGGAGACCTGGAGGAGAAAGGGAGGAGAAGATCAGAAAAAACATCAATGAGGTGTCTGACCAATCAGGTGCTGACTCTTAACTCATCTCTGTCTCATTTCCTTACCTTCCACCGGAGCCGCCTCGCTGCACCTGCAGCCAGGAGTCGTCCACAGGCGGCGGCATGGCAGTGGTCACGGTGGATGTGCTGATGTCGCCGATGATGCTGAGCGCCTCCTTCAGGGCGAAGTACATCCGCAGCATCTCGTCGCGGTGCTGGGCCTGTTCCTGAGACTCCTCCATCAGACTGTTCTGGTCACCACATGAGTACAGCTGGGCCAGCAGCTCAGCGTTGATGAACTCCTTAGTCTGAACAGAAAAGACAGAGAAAAATGTTCTGGAAATGTTAAAAAATGCAGCTTCTGACTGAGGGGGGAGTTGTCTGGTCCTTTTGTGTCTGCATGTCAGAGTTAACAATAACGCTGCTGCATCCCACGCTGATGACTCACATTGTTGATCATGAGGTGCATGATGGTCTTCGGCATCAAGTCACGAACAGTCTTGTTGACGATGGACATGTAGGAGTCGACCAGGTTGCGAATGGTCTCCACCTGCCGCTCCAGCTGAGGATCCATGCTGTGCATGAAGCTGTCGGAGCCATTTTCATCACCGCCCTCGCTCTGTGGAGACACATTTAGAATTTAACTAGACTGAAAAACAAATTGGCACGACACGAAGAAGAAAGGCGGTAATTGCACAGCAGACAAAAGCCCTTTTTGTCTGGATGTTTTGTTCGCACACCGACTTCAAGGAAATCATATCAAGCAGCACAAAGGGCAGAAGTGCTGGCTGAAGGGACATCAGAAGGTGATGATTAATAAGCTGCAACCACAATATTTACCGTTAGACTGATCTCAAGCAAGTAGCCAGAGATGAGCCAGGCTGAGAATGCATTAACATATCACCCTCTGATTAATATTCCTCTTCGTCCAACCCTTTTACACCTCGTGCTGCTCGACTGTTTGTACTAAAGTAGCAGCTACATGTGGAGACAACCACATGGTTTATGCATCCAAAAGGCTTGTCGATGCACCTGCATGGCTAAAACAATGCCATACGGGATTCACAAATATAACTATGATTGCTATGATAACTAATATTTCCTACAAATTATTATCATTAAAAGTAGTATTTTGGATTAAATGTTCAAGATAAAAATGTAACTGGTAGAAAACAGTCTCTTTGACCAAACTATGATTCTTTAAGCCTCAAAGCTCAACAATCAATAACTAATTACTCACATTATTCATTTGACCAACAAATAAATGCAATTACATTTAGCTGAAGTTTTCTTAAATAATTGTTTTTGGTTCAAACATTACATTCAGAAACACAAACATGATGAAAGCGTATGATGCAGACCAGAGGAACGTACCTTTCCTTCCTTCTCCTACAAGGTCAAACAGCAATGAAAGATAGAAGACATTGAAAAGGACAGATAGCACATGAGACACACGACAACATTAAAAATGGATCACAAATAAACATGGCAACAATAACCTAAGAAACTGATGGACAGAAAGTAAAAGTTAATTAGCTTTACATTTTAATGTGACGTGAAATCAATGAAGGTTAAGAATGTAAAATATTCTGACTGGCTGTCAGTGGATGTTTTTGAGAGCAATCGTTTCACGCTGTCATTCCAGTATATATTAGCAAAAGTACTTCACAGCCTCGGCTCATGTATGTGTGCATGTGTCTTTAAATAAATCTCACCGTGACCCGTTCAGGATAGACTCCAGCTCTGAGGAAGGAGGCCTTCCATGCATCAACATCTTCCTGGCCCTCACATGCCAGTTCCAGCTGACGGTAGTCCTTATACACATTTCTGTGGACACACAACGAGACCGAAGCTCTCTGAATCTGAGCAGCAATACATCTTCCTACCAGTGGTGGAAAGTCACTAAATTGTGCTTTCTGTGGGTGAGGAACTTGTACTTGCTCTTGAGTATTGTAATGGCTGGATTATATTTAATATTACGACTCCACTATCAGAGTTTACTGCACTACATTTATTTCAGTTGCTTTTTTTTCTGGTATTGGAACACTTATGGGCACTTGGGAAAATGTTGCATCTGTTGATCCTTTTTTTTTTTTATTATTTTTTTATTTTACAAAACAAATAACCTTTTCTTCTTCTTTTTTTTTTATGGTATTACAATGTTGGTATGCTGCACAAAAGACATTTTTGAGTTCTCTTAACTTCTAGCCATGGTTGTGTTGTTTCCATGGAGGTGCTGGACTTTATATTTCAGTTGAAAAAAAAAGATTATTATGACTTCAGCTTGACTTGAAGCATCTTGAAATTTTACACAGAAATCATAAGAGCTATGACCATTACATTCACTCTGTGTCTGTATAACTGTTTAATTGGACTGAGTAAAGAACATAAGACAGGGTGGGATTAAATTTCAACCCAGTAGAGAATTATTTTACCTCTGCTCGGTGTTGAAGAGGGCAAAAATATGCTTGCTGGACATGAAGCCTTTCTCCACATCGCGCAGCTTCAGGTTGTCCACCTGCAGCATGTACTTCTTCTCCTTCTCCTGCAGGGGGAGGAAGAGAGACACGCCGGTGAGGGGAAGGAGAGAGACGCTGAGGGGGTGAGGAATTTGGTTAAAGAGCTCATATGGTTGCACTGGCACTGAATAGGTGAGACCAAAGCAGCTTGAGAGGCCAACGCAAGATGCTGCATCGAGATCAGTGAGGGGAAATAAACCTAAAGCTAAATGTGCACATATAGATATATATAGGTGAGTAAGATTTTGTAGGAGAAGCATTCACAGAGAAAAAAAACATAGAATAAAAGAAACAAAGCAGATCAAAGAGCTCAGGGGAAATCAGGAGCTCTCACATTAAGTTCTACAGCAGACAAAAAAAAAAAAAAGAGGGGGGAGAGAAAAAAAAAGAAAAGGAGATGGATGGGAAAGTCGTACACAGTCTGCGAGTCTGTGGTTTTGATTACAGTTGTGCCGAGTAAAAAAAAAAAAGGTGGGGAGGGGGGGCAAGAAACAAATGAGAAACACACACATTCAGAGAGAGAGAGAGAGGAAAGCTGTATCCCGCTGTAGAAATCTCTTGTACTTGTAAATCTGCACACAACATACGACATACAGACGTCCAACTATTTATGAATCAGGGAACCTCAGAGTTAGTCAGCTCGCTCTGACACATGCCAGCTCCTTTATCTCAGACACGCACATGTTAGTGCTGTTACCAAAAAAGAAAATCAAGTTTAAATGCTTTAATAAGGACAGAAAATTAACAAAAATGAGATTCTAAAAATAGCCCAGGGGTGAGCGGGTTTGTCCAAACACACACACAGAAATACACACACGCTGCTTTGGTTACAAACAGCACCTTTGAGCGTAGTCTCTAACTAACCTTAAAACCATCTGGATGGCTAACCGCGGGGCCTGCCCTGCCCAACCCGCCGTGAGTGTGTGTGTCACAGAGAGAAGACGGGGATTGTATGTGTGACCAAACCTCCTTCATCAAAGGATTTATGGCCTGTGCAGCCAAATGGTCATATCCCCTAAATGCATGTAAAACCCTCACACACACACACACACACTTACACACATATAAACACAGACACATTTGGCAGCGCCGGTGCACTCGGGTGTCCACAATGCAGAGAAAAAAAAAAAAACTAAACAAGCAGTCGCCCCAGACTGCTGACATCATCATTTATAGCACTGGTGAGTCCCCGTCCTCCATCTTTTTCTTTTATTTGTTCAGTATTTCTCCATCTTTGCCTTCCTCCTTTTTTCTGTCTCTGTGTTGTTGTTTTTTTTTTTTTTCCTCTTTTCCCTTGTTCCCCTCGCTCTCTGGCTTTCCCTCTCCCTGGGAGTGAGCAACCTTGGACTGATTCATACATTTTCCTCTCCTCTGGCCAGTAAATCCAGTCAGGAGAGTTTGGAAAGGGAAGAGGAAGGAGGAGGAGGAGGAGGAGGAGGAGGTGGGCGACTAGTGAGTGTGTACATGATGTGGGGAAAGTAAAATGAACCAAAGACAGAAAGGTGTATGACAACAATATACGAGCCACAAAGACCAACTATCAGTGAGAGGATGGAGGGTTCGGGGTTTGACGCATCCACAAGCAACAAGAATGGTCAGAAATTAATAAACACCAGCTATCCGTTGAGATAAATTTGCAATATTGCAACATAAAATCAGATTATTTTTCTCTCTCTCTCCGTCCAGCAGCCCATTTTTCATGCGTGTTTTTACATGTGTGGTGTTTGGGGAAGCAGGGGATTGAGTGCTTTCCCATATGCTCCTATAAAACCCAGTCAGCATGAGTGGGCAACGGTACAGATTTCAGACATTAAGCACACTCGCAGGGACACAAGAGAAAACAAACCTACACGCAGGCAGAGGAACTCACGATATGCAGAAGGTATATAAGACACATATAAAGCATGCACACTGTGTTTGACCTTTGTCTGCGGCGCTCTGCTTGCATGGGACCCAACGTCTGTGGGACGGCGTCCAAGAGACTACTGAGCTGTCAGGAGACTTCTTTTTAGAAATAATCACACTAAAAGAGCTTAAAAATGAGTGTGTGTTCATGATCATTTGTGAATGTACCTGCTTTTAATGCACTTGTGCCTGCGTGTGACTAATACGCTAGAGATGTGCACAAATTCTAAAACGCAGAACAAGATTTGGGAACATGTTAGGAAAAGTGGGAGCAAAATAGAGGATTTCTAAGATTTAAAAACCACACTGAAGAGGAAGGAAATTGAAATGAGAATTATTTTGTCAGGCTGCGTTTTCGCTCAAAGCCACAGAAACAAACCAGTAATCCTGCACTGGAATGAAATCTATCCTTTGTTTGCTGCATCTGTTACACTGTGGAAACTACAAAATTGATCAAAAATAATAAAGGCATCACAACTGGGTTTTAATACCTCTACAGGACGCTTTTAAAGCTGGTAGTCTTTTGTTTTTACTTCTAATATAGCCATATTTCTTTTGCAATATGTGTGGACTACAGCTGCAAGCTGTTAATAATCACTGTAGTCTTGAAAAAAAAATGTGAGCAGTGGAGAATAAAACGAATGTAACAATAAATCATCAAAGGGGAAGGAGACACGGCATAAAACAGATTCCTCATATTGCACAATCACAATATTCTCATGTGTTTGCAGTCATACATTTACTGTTCATGCATGTGTAACCACAAATTAATGGTGAATCAGAACGTGACAAGTTTTCAACAGCAGCATCATGCAGGAAATAAAAAGGCTTTCAACACGTTTACTGTGAGTTGTTATTCATCTTTTTTATGCTTAAGGAACTATTGCAGTGCCCGCCGTCATAGGCATTAGCTATCAACTAAAGACTGGATGTGAAAGATGAACGTAGCGAAGCGAAGTCAATGCAAAGTGACTTAAACTTGCATTCTTTCTAATGTCCAGCAGGAGGCGACTCCCATGGCTGCAAAAAGACATTTAATGGTATAGAAGTCTATGAGAAAATAACACAACTACTTAACTGATTTGTTACCTCAGTGAACATTTTCCTAAAGAGTTTATGGTCTCAACCACTAGCTTCAAATCTACTTAAAAAATGTAGAAATTAGGTTGTGATTTACAGTCGAATCGACGATAGATCAGTGTATGCTTTAGGGACAGGTTACTGTGAGGGTGCGCATAGTGAGTCAGATCCATAATACGCTCCTCACATCTGCTTTTAAAAGACAAAGATGGCAACAACCAAATCTATTTTTACAGCCTATGAGTAACCTTTGAACTTCGATCTGTGACCACATCCTGGGAGCTTGACTTTGATGATGTTGTCTTGCAATGTCAAGTTGAAGATGGCACCCAAAGGTCAGGCTGAAAGTTGGTTGGACGTATGGTTTGCAAAATGATTGTTTGATACCTTAAAACCTTACAGATATCCTCTTAAGTCTTGATTATTTTGCTTAAGTTTGTTTATTGACAAGTGTTGCAAACTAAAGGAGAATACAGTGATAAAACTACAGTCCTTTGCTGTGGATCCCTTCCACCATTTTCAGCCTCCTCAGCCAGTGTTGGTGCTGTTCTAGGATCGCCTCTTTCCACTGCTTCTGGAAGGTGTTGTGGTTGGAAATATTTTTGACGATGTCACGTCCGTGGCGCCTCACGTCTCCTGCAGCGTCCACACATATTTTGCTAAGAGCCATTAGGAAGCATTTGGTAAACTTTCTGCCACCTGTAAGCATCCGTTTGGCTCCAAGAATGTCACGTAACTGGCTGACGTGCTGACCTGGACTAGCGCTAAGTGCAGCATTGCGGTGACTCAACCCGGCACTCAGCAGGATGTTCATGGTAGAATCTGGGCTGCAGTTTTGCACCATGGTGTCCAGCGAAAAATTTTCCTGCTGCTGGATGAAGGTGTTCGGACTGAGACACCGACTATTAGAGCATAACCCGTTTCCTCCACCATGTCATCCATGGTCATCTTGAGGTGAGCCCAAGGTTTTACTTCCTCAGTGACACCGACGTAGATCCTGCAAAGCGTTGGCCTCAGTGCCAGATCTTGGACAGATGTCAAACCATCAGTTCTTTTCTTCCACTCATCAGAGTTGAGGGGTTTCAAGATATGATCTGGTCTTCTATTTGGACTGGACAATGGCTTCTTTTCTTTGTCAGAATTCTGGGAAGATTGTCTCACTTGGGAGGGTTGAGAAAGTTCAGCTGTGGTAGGAGAAGGAGGAGGAGGAGTGGAATCAAAAGATGGCAGAGAAATGGTTTCAGGAAGACTGTCAGCATCCACTGTGCTGAGAGAGTCCTGAGAACATGGATCCGTCACGGACACCTGAAAGGCTTCCTGACTCACATGGGTATGAAGGCCTCAGCCCTTATCAAGAAGTTTTGTTTAGTAGGAATCCTCTGATCCTTCTTCTTCTGTGGTAACCAGATCGGCCACTATGCAAGTTTCCTCCTTGAGATGCTCTTCCATGATTGACCAGAAGTTGTCTTTATCAAAAAAAAAGCCTCAGGTCCACTGGTAAACTTGGACTTGGGCTACTTCTGACTGCTACATCGGATCAGTCAGTTTCCAGGCTTCCTGCTAGAGGTGCATCATTTTTCATGATATCCCAGAGGCTGCTCTTTTTAAGGTTTTTACGAGTCATTTAGTCTATCTATGACACAGGAGTTTTCTGATTATCCCATTGTCTTAACATTAGGTAACTTCCAGGTAAGTTTCCAGCTTTCATGAGCATACATGGTCTCATCATCACTGATAGACCAAACATCGTCCTCATCAAAGGTATCCAAAGTTTTCTGGGTGATGCTGACTTTCCTGATTGATTATTAAGACGCATCGTGTCAAGAAGGTGCCTCAGATGTGACTGCAACTCCAGCAAGAAGGCGATATTTAAAGTCACACTAAACGCATCTGTTTTGTTGCAAATGAGAGGACGCGAATGGGAAAATTTTTAAAAACATGATTCAGTACCGCCAGACCGATCTTTACAAACACAACCTTTTAAACCAAAGATGTTGTGTTTGGACTCTTTCATCCATTCATTCAGCACCTTTCAGCACAT